TAAGCTGAAAGCTGGATATGTCCTGGAGCCCATAGGAGTGAACTCTGGTCATCAAATTGGGATTTATGAACATCCCCCCACTAAAAATAATAATAAAAAAAGAGAAAGCCAGACCAAACCAAAATAAAGTACTTCCCATCTAATACTTACTTTATGGAGAAATCTACAGAAGGCTTTTCCCAAATCAGTTCTAAGTGTTAATCAGCTGGACATTATTTAATGACAAGGTGAGCAAAGACACCTTGGAGATAACCCCAAGCACAGCAGAAATGAGGGGTCACACAGAGGACAGGTTAAAGAGGTAGAAATACTCTGCACTTTCCTAAAGAGCTTAGGAAACCCTCCTGGCATAACTTTCAGAGCTTGAGATCTCTGGTGGCTCAAGCAGGGCTGGAGAGACCCCGGCACAGGCTCTGCTTTGGGGCCACCACGAGGGGAGAGGTGCAGAACTTCTCCCTGCAGGAGCCTCAGCTTTGTCTCCATGAGCTGAGAGCCTTGTTCTTCACCTTCCTGGGCTACTCTGAGAGCAAAATGCACTTCAAGCTGGTCAATCTTTGGGCACTAAAGGGGCAAAGGGGAATTTCCATCATTTCCAGGGTTGCCCAAAACCAAGAAGCTTGTGAGGGGATTTTTATATTATTTCATTTTTTTTAAACAGTAGAATTGTTACAGATTGATTAAGACTGGGAACTGATTGAGCACAGGGTCCTATGAATTAAATAATAATACTAATAGAAAAGAATTTGCTGCTTTACCTACAAACAACTACAGGTTTCAGACACTGTTAAAAAGATTCACAATATCAATTTATTGAGGAACCTCATTTGGGCTTTGAAGTAATGACTAAGGTCTTCCTCAAGACTTTGTATTTTATGCCACCAGTTTAAACCCTTACATGTCTGGGAGGAAGTGTTAGTCACAATTTAATTTAAAAAACTCCAAACAATATATATGTTACTGCAGCCTATTTTAAATTTTGACATTAAAGAACTATCTTTGTGAACCAAGTCAAATCTTCATGTTGTGAGATGATAACTTGCTTGGATGAGGGATGCCATCACCTACTTTGACCTGTAAAAATCTTCTATTTTAAGTAATATATAACATTTACTTCCAAAAAATAACAAAAGCATAATTTCCCTTTCCTAAACAAATCTGTTTATACTAGTTCCACAAAACATTACCATTAATAACAAGATGGAATATCTGTCCCTATAGAAAGAGACATCCTGCTGTGACACACTATCTTGTTTGCCTTTCATCACTGAGAATATTAATGCAGTTCCTGCTGGGATAAAGATTTATAGTTTCTTGGATTTTGGAAACAGTTAATTAAGCAGCTGCACTGACTGAGTCTCAGTGAAAGGAAGCCTGGAACATTTTGCAAAATGCAAAGTAAAGCTCCATATTCAACCCTCTGGATCCAACTGGAGGAAACAGCACTCACAAAAGAAAAGAAGCCCTTTTCTAGACACAGAATAATCCAAGAATTCCACAGTCCCATCCCCCTGGCACTTTCCCAGTTCAGTACTGGGACAGAGGGAAGACAGTAGCAGAGGTCATGTCTTACCTCCTTGGAACATTCACTTGGGAAGAAAAGATCCTGTTGGAAGGGGAAACTGGATCCACAATTAGCAAGGGCAGGGAAACTGGGTTCAGAGTCCCAAATTATTTCCTGCCTTACTGACTCTATCAGAATGTGGAATGAAGAGGGACTGGAGAGGGCTTTCTTAGCTGGTCAGAGGTCAGAGATCCTTTTTCCCCTGGGAGGCTCAGAAGTCACACCTGGGCTGAAGGGGAAGCTCAGGACACTTTGCAAAGTCTCCCTTGTTTATAAAGTGTCTGTCCTGTCTCGGGGGAAGGAAGGAGGAGTTGAGAAGTTTGATATCTGTAACCTCTGTCATCCCCACCCCTGCCAAGTAAAGATGCTTTAGAGCTGCCAAAGGGACTCAAGTCCTTGTTTGTGACTATCAACAAGTCAGCTCCTGGAATTCCCCATTCCCTTGCAGCCAAGCTCAGATGATTCTTTCCTGCCTCTTCTCTCTGGGTTCTTGGCCAGAGCAGTGAGATGAAAAGGGAGGTGATGAACTCAGTGGCTCCTTAAAGCCCCACCAAAGGCCTGGCTGTGCTGTCCCAGAGTTGATATGGGCACACAGAAGGGCTTCATTTCTTCTCTTTTTTTATAAATTACACTGGAGTTTTCAGTGCAAAGATGGTGGGTGGAAGCAAATCCCTTGGGGATTGTTGGTCTCCTCACCTGACCTTGTAATGTCTGCTCAGAGCCTTGAGGAATTGAACTGTTAACAATAGGAGCCAGTTAATGTTGTAATAACCAAACAAGCTTCTGCTCTCTAAAATTAGAGAGAGCTATATAAAAAATATTGTATTTAAAAGTAACAGATATTTTAGGGTGTGATAAGCTGAACAAAAGCATTTCCCTCACATTTATTTTCTAAGTAAGAATTGTAGAATATCCTGAATTGGAAGGGGCCCACAAGGGTCATCAATTCCAACTCCTGGCCCTGCACAAGGCAGCCCCAAGAATCCCACCATGTGCCTGAGAGCACTGTCCAAACACCTCTTGAAGAAGGCAGAGTTAGTCTGGGAAAAACAGAAAAAAGGGAAGACCCTACCCCATCCTTCCAAAATATCCTGGAGACATTGGATTCTATTATTAGCTTGCTTGAGGGAAAGGAAAGAGAGGGCTCTGAAGGAGATTTGGCTCTGGAGATGGGGAAAGTCTGAAACACATGGGAAGAATGGCAGATTTTCAAACCTGACAGCCTATCCTGAAGCCTCCTGTCATAGAAATACCTCCAAATTAGTGGGTTTCTATAAAAACTCTGATTTTCACCATTTTAAGTTGGGGAGTTGTGAAGTCATCCTCACTGTAGACTATCCAGGCTGATTTTCAAAAGGCAGAGAAAATGCTTTTCCTTTGCTAATCAGAGTTCTGAGCTGTGCTTTCAGAGACACCCCCTGTGCTCCCCTGTGACCCAGCTCGGAGGGGTCGGGGGATCTGGGTGGGAACAGGGCTGTGTGTCAGGATCAGTCAGTGCAGGGGATCAGGTGGGCACACTGTGCAATCCAGTGGGCACACTGCACATGGGGCTCTTTGCTCTGGGCACAGGAAAGAAAAGCCTTTGTGGCAGAGCCAGAATATTGCACAGTTCCAGCTGCCACACCTTCTGGAAAAAGCCAGTTGCTGACTATACCTTTAAAGCAGAGCATGGTTGTCACACCCACTGGTCTGGAACAGCCAAGCACTTTGGGGATCCATGGAACCCCAGTAGAACCTTCTCTCTGCCTGCTTCTTGGCAGTATTTTCACACTACTATGGCAAATAGATTTTTTTTTATGTAGATAAACAAGCTAATAGATAAATTAAATACATTAAATAAATAGATAGATAAATTAAATAGAAAAAATTATTCAGAATTATACAAGAGCCACAGCTGTTTGTGTACACATCAGGATGGATGAGTTTAATGGGCATTAACTCTTCTAGAAATGCAGAGCCATGGCCAAACCTGCAGCACAAATATATGATTATATTTCTATTGCATTTCCTTTATTCTGCCAGAGTCAGGCTGCTGAACCATTTAACAAACCTGGGAAAATAAGGATGAATAATTACTGAGGCTCTTTGTCTGGAGGAAATGCTATATGATATCTTTTTGAAAGCTGTGGCATTTGAGAAAGATTTCAAGATAATTACTCAGAACTGTTGTCATTTACTGCATCCTCAATGAATATATTTATTTTACTTGCTCAAGGAGCATTCAAGAAACAAATCCCCACAAATTGTCCATGACATGATAAGCAGAGAATAGCATTTCCAGGATTTATTTCCTATTTCCTGCAGTGTCAAAAATGACAGTTCCTTGCTGTTCCCTACCAGCTTCTGCTTTACAACTTCAGAGTTATCTACAAACAGTAACTGATAAAGTTTCACAGCAACTCTGCTGAGTTGCCTGTTCCATCATACGGGAAATATTGTGATATTTGCCCCAAAACTCAGCTACAAACACACAATTTTTACAGGGGAAATTGTTAAAATAGAAATGAAAGCCAGAAGATGCCATGACAGAAGGAAATTTTATGGTTAAAAATTCCACAAGGATATAATGAATAATTAGAACAAAAATAGAAAAGCAGGTTTTAGTTGGCTTTTTGTTTGGGTGTGGGTTTTCTCTCCTTTTTCTTTCCACATTCTATTCTTCCTTGAGCATAATTAGAAGGTATCTTATCTTTAAATGTTCCTTAATGAAGGCACCTGAAGCTGAGCAGTGACAAAAAATTTGAAGACCATCCCCATAGCCAGCCCCTCCAAGATATACTCTGCAAATCTGTTGTGCAAATATTAACCTGTTAAACTGCAGCTCCTCCCCAGCTCCCAGTGGGATGCCCAGTGCTCTCATTACCAGTCTGATGGAAGATAATGCTGGAAAATGGTCCAACAGGGAGAGCTGGAAACAACACAGATGTGATACAGCCTCACAGCACGTGCACAACAAACTCTATGGTGTAAATCTAGAGCAAGAGAAGGTTTTACTGTGGCCCTTGTTCAAGTCAGGAACCTCCCAGAATGAATCACTTAATAAATCAATCTGTTTGGATAGTACCCTGTTTAATCTGAGTATTTATGTGACCAGCCCTAAGATGTAAAATAGAAAGTGAACTTTCTGTCTCAGCCATGGCCAGGCACGCCCAGACAGCCCAAGGTGTTGGACAGGACACTGCACCAGGCTCAGCACAGGCCCAAGGGCTGGGCTGGAACAGGGGCTGAGGCTGAGACCCTCCTTAACCCTCTGATCTCTCTGCTCTGAAGGTCTCCTGACTTCAGAGCATCCCCTCTCCATCCTGGCACGAGTTAAAGGTTGAACAGCTGATTTTAGTCCAACTTCTGGCTTTGGTGGGTTCTGTAGGATCAGTCAGAACACTGATGACTGTTCCAGGGCAGAACTCAGCAGTGCTCTGTGTCACAGAGAGGGAACTGTGGGATGCAGGAGTTCTGTGCTGACTCAGGGAGGGGTAAATCTGTTTAACAAAAGTTAAATTGGAGCAGTCACACAAACCAGGAATTTTTCTCAGGATACAGAGAACAAAAATGGGCACCACTGCAGTTCCAGTGTAAATGGCAGAGAAAGGTGTGTGAGAGGTCCTGACCCAACAGGGGCAAACATCCCCCTCATCCCACCCCCCAAAGCAGCTGTTCCCAATAACAGGGACTGGGCTGGGGGGAGTGGATGTTCAGGAGCAAAAGTACAAAGGAAAACTTGTTGCGAGATCTGATTTCTGACACAGGGAGGGAATATTTTCTCCTTGTCTCCCTCTCAACACTTTATTGCTTTCTCTCCACAGAGCAGGGAAGAGCATCATGTCAGTTCTGAAGTTTGAACCAATGTGACTGAAACTGAAGCCGTGGTGATGCTTCTTTAATTAAAGCATTTCTCACAAGGGCTTTGAGATGCAGGAGAAAAATAATAAGGTAGAGGGATTTAATTTTATGCAAGTTCTTCATTGAATTGCAGATCTATCCAATCTGGTTTAAATCAGTGGAGCAGAGGAGCCTGAGCCAGCAGCCAGGCTCTGCTCTCACATGCTAATGAATACCCCACAGAGCAGCCCCAGAGCCAAGGGGAGGCCAGAAAATTATATTGCTTTTATTATTTAGAAACATTCCACGACACAATGTAATGCAATATCATCTCAGCAGAACAGCCATGCCTTGGGAGGCTCAGCAGTTATATCACAATGTCTGCCCAAGTACTTACATAAGTTAAGAACCACAAGGCTGGTTCTGTAAAGCCTTTAAAGGCTCCATTTCCTTCTGAGATATTGGCTCTGGCAGAAGGTACAGCAAAAGAGCATCACAGTTCATGTACTGGGCACTTTTCTCCTGTACTAGAACTAAACATTGGCAAGATATTACTAAAGAACACCTTTAAGAGATGGAAGCAAACTATGTGTAGTGGGAAAAAAGAATCTTAGAAGATTTCCTACCTTTCTAAATTTTCAAGACATGATCATTACAACAAGAAAATAATTTCCAATCCGCTTTTACATAGGTGGTTTTTTTTACAGGATTCCACAACACTTCCACTAACTCTCTTGGTCGTATCTATTGGAGAAGTCCTATTTTTAAGATCTCATATCTGTGATCACTGAAGTGAATTCTGATGTATAATATTGGTGCTGGATCAGAAAAAGACTTTTGTGCCAGTTAATCCACTGGCATTGTCAGCAGTGTGAATAATGTTTTTCAAGCTCCTCTGTGTGTCTCAGTTTGTCAAACAGGCACAGTCCCAGTTCAGGGGTGGGTTTGGTGCCCCAGAACTGTTCAGTGGGAATTCTGGAAGTTCCAGAGCAGTTCCACTCTGCACTCCTGCGAGGAGTGACAAACAACATCTGCAGGGGAACAGCAGGAAAATGAGCCCAACAGAATGTAATTAGTGCCTGGAACCCGGCCAAGGCCTTCAAACAGCAACAGGACAGTGAGAAAATCCTGGAGCAAAACCTGAAGTCAAGCAACACCTGGAGTGCTCTTTGCTGGGCAGGGACAATATCAAAGGCTGAGGATGCAGCAGAGCCAGAACCTTCCCCAGGCTGGGATTCCAACCCCACACACAGAGGATCTGCCTGCAGGAGGTGGCAAAGCACCTCCAGCCCTTCCTCAAGCATGAAGGGGAAGAAAAGCAGCTTCTGGCCAAGACTATTAAAACATATTGGCCTGTGGCTGGTGACCTCTGCTCCAGGAAGGGCAGAGAAAGGAGTTGGTAAAAACTGTCATCAAGTGTATGATAATTGGAGTAAGTTTTTCTTGATCTATTAGATTTTATTACACTTTCCAGAAGAGATGCAATAACCACAGAAATTGATTCTGGATTTATTCACTATGATTAAATCAAATATTTGTTTTCTTAAGCTGCAGATTATGTCTGCAGAATCAAAACCTAAGAACCACATGGGATGTTCTGAAAACTAAACAGCTCACAGGAGGACCTGTGCTCTAACAGAAAACCCCCATGCGCTGCCCAAGTTGGAGCTGGGCTTGGTGACATAACAATCTTTGTGTTCAGATTAATTAGAATTTGGTTCTAGAACCAGCCTATTATCTTCCCTTTTCCCACTGCCCCTTCCCTAGAACACAAACACCCCAGATGTTGCTGTTGTGGGGAAGTGGAGAGGCTGAAGGATGGGGGTGAGTGAGTAAAGGCACAGTTCAGGTGCTCTCTGGTTTTAGGGCAGCTCTGAAATGCACCTGCTGAATTTTCCAGGGTGGCCCTTTCCCCTGCCTGGAGCTGCTCTCTGTACAAGGAAGATAACGAGGCTTGTTTGCTGGAGAAAGCAAAAGATAAAAATAACCTGTGTCAGTAACTGATGTGTACAAAATGTTGTGTCCTCTTTAGATAACTGTTGTATGAATCCAGAAAGTGAAGGTGGAAAAGTGAAATCTATACTTGGGTTTGGATTTACTAAGAGACAAAAGCATGAGGCTCCTAAATGTAATTGAATTTTGCCTTCTGAACCTTTTATCTTTAGACCTTCTGAAAAAAACAAACAAAACTCAGTGAAAAATATGGTAAAACCAAAAAGCTTAAATTTTCATAACACTAGCCTGGAAGGGTCCATCCTGATTCATTACCAGGGCTCAGGAAATGCTCACTCTGTGAGGGAATGTGGAGCATCCTCTTGTTGGGGCACTGGTGGAATCTCAGTTGGTTTGATAACAAATCATGGCTGGTGGCAGCTTGGAGATCCCAATTTATGTGCAGTATTTTGGGGGGATGGATGTGGCTGTAAGCCTGTAAGACAGGTCCCAAAAAACTGATTGTGGTGTCTTTGCCAGAGCGCTGGGCAGCTCTGCAATGCTACAGGAAAGTGGAAGGGGAAAAGGAAAGGCTACTAGAAAAGAGAAATAAAACTGCTGACCCAGGAATTTCAGCAAGAACCACAATTATCAGTTCTAAAATAATCTCTCTTCAAGTAATTTCTGTGAAATTTTTTGGCCTGAGAGAAACTGTGTTATATAATACACTCACACTCCAGGTGTGTCTATGTTATATAAGTTTATTGCTTATTGCTTGCCTTCTGTTTTCCCTCATTTAGATTTCCAATCATCCAGCTCCCCTAAATTAGAACAGTGACTCTATAATTCTCTAATCTGTAGGCAAGCCAACATCAGGACAAGCAGCTAAGGATCATGCTCTGCTGGTTCTCAGAATAGCAAAGAAAATGCAGGAAAGCTTTGAAGGGGCTTTGAACATCAGAAAAATCTTTGGCAATACCTGAAGCCCACAGAATTTCTGAGTTATGTGAACCTAAAGCAGAAGAGAAGAGGAGACAAAGTGAACTGAAGAGCTGAAGGATTAAAAATAGCCTCAGAGATTAGAGCTGCTCAGAGGTTACAGGCCCATGAAACATCCCACAGGAGGGTTTGTGGGGAACAGGAGCATGTTTCTGATTTACAGGCAGCAGCACAAGCAGAACATCCTTGTGCCACCCTGATGAGACACCCCAAGGAACACCCAACACATTTCCCTCAGGGGCAAGGGAAGAGCACTGATAACCCAGCAAACTGTCTTTAAATCCCTGTAATCCCTGTGTTTTCCACTGCCTGCTCACACACAATGTCCTTGCTGTTCCAGAGCCAGTGGAACCCTTCCCACTCCTGACCCAGGGCCAGGCTCCCAGTGCCAATGGACTGAGTGGGCAAGTGTGCCATGAGGGCCAGCAAGGCAGACAGGCTCCCAAACAGGGCAGCAGAGCTGCATGCCAGCTCCCTAATTGGGGAGTTGGTGTCTGCTGGGAAGCCAGCTGCCTTCCCAGCCTTCCAGATGGAAATGAGAATGGAAAAGACAGTAGACAATGAAGGGTACATGAAAATCAAATTAAATAAACACTATTTGCACTACAATTGTGATCTGTTCTGACTGGCCTTCTTTTAGGAAAAGCACTTCAGGGATTTCCTTTTTCTGCATGTGGTAAAAGAGTTGGGTATAGAGGAAAATGATAAAGCAAAAAGCAAATTGGAGCAGCTGCCTTCAGTCTCCAAGTATGCAAGCACATAGAGCAGCTACAAGTGAACAGTTCAGGGGTTCCTTTCTGATTATTGCAGGTTGGGCTTCCAGGTGAATCTCATTTAACCCCCCAGTGTGCAGGAACTCCCTGCCTGTGTTCCCTTCCCCTGTTCCCCTGCAGGCAGCGATGCCCAAACCCTCCTCGCCCCAATCAATGAGAACAAGAGAGAAGAGCTTTGGAGCCCAGCAGAGGGGAGGTAATTTCTGACTCCCCCAGCACTCAGCTGATGCTGAGATGAGATGAACCCTTCTCTGACCCAGCCTCCTGCCCAGCAGAGCACCAGGGAGAGCTCCCCTGGCTCATGGGTGTCAGTGCTGGGATAGTTATTTCTGTGTGGAATTATTGATCCTTAATTACATAATAAACCATTTTCAACAGTGTCAGATGAATGCAAAATTAACACTTGTGCCTCTGTTCTAGCACGTGGTTATGACCATTAAGCCACAGCTGAAAATGTCTGCAGAAGTTTCCTGGGCTCATTGCTGAGCTACAAGTCACTGCAACTCCAGCACTGGAAAGTCCATCCAAGCCATCAGACAATCCTGCCAATGCTCTGGATTTGACCTCTGCCACCAGAGAGTTCAGAAAACACACTTCCACTGTGAAATCAGTGCCTAAGTATGATCAGAGCCAGTTCAGGTGATACCACACAGTAATTTTAGATTTATAAAAAAAAAAATAAAAAATACACATTTTATTGCAGAGAACAGAGGGGAGCACAGATGTGATCTAAACAAATAGGAATGTGAACAACTAGAAGTGATGGGAATTCTCACCTCCTTCCCGAGCTACAAATATTTTGCAGAGGTGCAAAATTAGTTTTTAGGTCCTACAGATATTTTGCTCCACCAGAAACAGTCCCACCAGATTTTACTGCCCATAAAAGTATCTGACTGTATATTTCCATATAACTGTATGTATAAAAAATATAATATATAAATATAACCTTATAAAAACAAATATAGTCATATATAAATAAATATAACTGAATATTTCCACATTCATGCCCATATCCGTATGAAATAGTCAACTCATTTCAGGTAGAACAATAATCAGGTAATGTGTATTTTACAGAAACAAACTTTAAACCCTTTATTATTAATTTAGCAACTTAAGTAATTCAGTGCTCAGGATTAGAACAGAACAGTGTATTTTCCAGAGGTTCTAAGCCTACAAAGTGCAATGCACAAATCACAAACTGATGGATTTACGAAAGGGATCAGATTCAGAGAAAATATTTTGAAAGGTTCTGTGGTATAATGAAAAAAAATGTAGTAAACCTAAAAAGTCCACTCGATTACCAAAGCAACATTTGTCCAGCTTTATTCAGCAGTGCTTTAGGAATTTCCTGTGCTGATTATCTGCTGCTCCTGCACTGAACTCCTCAACCATCACATGGGAGAGGGAGGACAGTGGCATCCTGGGGTTATCTTTTAAAATAACAAAAGGATGTTGATAAATACAGAGTGCTACAGCTCTACAGTCCTAATGCCTCCTCAGGAGGTATTTTCATAAAATCCTGGTTAGGTAGTGACTGCCTTCCAAACAAAGGCCAGTTAAAATAATCGAGTCCTTCAGAGCACTGTCCATTATTTCCCTCCTGGCAGGAGCTCAGCCTCCCTGTGCTATTTGTCTTTACTGTAATGGCAGATACAGCTTTTAAATTTCCTAGTGATGCAAAAAATTAACTGCCAGCCCAGGAAAACTGAATGGACTTTGCAGAATCATCCTTTAAATCTTCTGGGGTGTTTTCTTAACACCCATGGCAGCAGCAACAAGCCCAGGTCCCTGAATTCTGCCATAACTCAATCAAACAGTTTTCTTACTCCCTTTCTGTTGCTGACATCTGGGGCCTTTCCACAGGGATTTCTGTCAGTAAAATGAGCTGTGACCCGGGTTCACAACTGATGGGAACTAATTTGACTGTGCTCCACAGTGGGGGAAGTTAGTGCAGCCCAGCTGACCCTGCTCTCATCTGAGGCTTCCACCACCACACATTTGCATTTAGAAATTACTCATCAAGTCAAATTCCAAACACTTTCATATCCTCTCCAATCATGGACACCATAAGGAGTGCATGTTCTTTGGCCTTTCAAATGTAATTATTAGCCAGAAAAATACTCAACTAAATGAATCTCTTCCTCTTGCCATCTTTTCTATTTTCTAGGTCTGCTTTACAATACTTCCCTCCCTACTTTGTGTTCCAGAATTCACCTTCTTGTTACTGTAACTGAATTTAAATAGTTGATTTTAATATTTGATAAACTTACTATAAAAATAAAGCTATTTTTTCCTTTTGATAGCATGGTATATAATCCAGTACCTTAAAACATCAGGCATACAGTGATGACCTTATCCTTTACTCTTAAGCAGGATCTGGCCTTAGAGTTTGTGCAAGTGAGATCCCAAAGCCAAGCACACAAGTAAAGCAAGGCTGGGGTTGATAGAGAACTTTCTAAATAAATACAAAATTTGCTCCAAGTAGCAAAAGACTAAAAGAAAAGGAATAGCTACATTTTTAAGAATGGCCACTCAACAACAAAAGATTTAACTGGCAGTCTGGGGGCTAAATTAATTGGTAGGATGACAAATCTCTTCCAGGGCTATGGCTGGCATTGATGAGTAGATGCCAAGTCCAAGTTCCCTGAGATTCATAGACCTTTAAATTCCTACAAATGCCTCCTGGAAGGTGTTTAGAACCATCAGTCTGTATTTCAGGAGTCCTCCTCACTCCTCACACACACACAGCTGGTGCTGGCCCTGGACCACAGCAGAGCCTCAAGTTCACTTTTCCTTTTTATTCCCTCTGTGCTTATTCAGAACTATTTGTATTTCCTTTTAGCACTCTGGGAGTTTCTTTATTTCTCCCCATCAAACTGGTATTGGTCAGGAAACCATTTTTGGCACCTGACAGGGACACAGCATCCTTTCTTTCTGTTTTTATCCCATCCATGACCTTAGAATGTCTCCTGTAGCTTCTCCACCTGACACTGCTGCAGCCCTTTGCCAGATATCTCCAGGTACAGCAGATGGCACAGGAGCTGTCTGTGTTCTCAGCTCAGAGTCAATCTTTTCAACAGGTTATGACACTTTATGCCACTATCTTTCTTTATGCTTTTTCTGCCTTTTCTGTATTATTTAAAAGCCAAATGCCACCCTCTGCTCTGCAGTGCGTGCGGGCAGGTGGAACAAGGAAGGTGTTTGGGGTGGTGCAGGGTTAATCACAGTTCTGAGGGGTGGGTAGGTGCAGTTCATATTACTAAGGGTGGGGAAGATCTATTTCTTCAAACCTCATTATAAAAGTATCATTTAAAGCGTCTGTTCATCAGCATTTCTGGCCTTAAAAGCCTCTGTCATTTCAGAGCGTGGAGAGAGGGGAAGAGGCAGAAATCCAAGTTCTGCTGAGCGTCTCTATTGCTTTTTAATGATCTCTTCAGTGTCTGAAATGATCATTTAATACCCCCTGTCCTGGTTTCTCAGAGTGCCACCCGATCCTGTTGTCACTGGGGCTGTTCCCAGCTTTGGCTCCCCAGCATTGCAAGGCATGAACAGGCTTTGCTCCTGTCTGGGCTGGCAGGATAATGGTCAGATCCATCACAACACACACCCAGGGACAGTTCATTGAGCTCATCCCAAACATCCTCACTCAGTTCATTACCTGCAAGCCCACACAGGCTGTTTTCCCTGTGCTCAGGGTGAACCTGTCCCAACCCATCTCCTTTCAAACCATCCCCTCCTGTACTTGGAACACCAACCTCAGTTACATCAGTGCCTGGGAAAAGCCACTGCCTCTCATTGGGGCCCTTCCTTTACAACCATTTTAAAGTCCATTATTAGTTGTAATGTCTGCTAAATTCTGTTTTCTTTCTTATTGTGGAATTGAGGAAATAATGGTTTCCACTTAATTTTTCTGATAAAATTTATACCAATTCCTTAGCACCCACTTCTCTCTCGTTTCCAAGATTTCATTAAAATGGTTATTTTCTTCTCTCTTAATATTTTTATTTTATATCTTCATCAAATGCATCTCTCCCTGCTTTCACGTCTCTCCTCATTAACATGTAGTTCACTGGTATTTAATTTGGGTAGAAATATCTTGAATGTAGTTCTTACATTAACCTATATCCAAATTTATTTGAAATTAGAATCAATGCATATGCTCTTTTCTTCTGTTTTTACTTCTCACTGTAGGACAAGTACCTGGGAAAGCTATGAATTGTTAATTTTCTTTCCAGGAATTCCCAATGTCTACTTAGATGTCTGTAAATAGGTCTCCAAATTCTGGCAAAATAAAAAGCAACTGGTCCAACCCCATAGCTCCTCTCACCATTTATATCCTCTAAAAACTACAAAGCTACCATTAGAAGTACTGGCAAAACAAACAGATATTCTGCAGAAATTATCTACAAAATGAAGTGTGCAAGTGAATAACAGAGAGCTCATTTTAGCACATTCAGAACACATGGTAAGTGCACAGAGGCATCTGTTTGCAGCTTAGATGCCCTGTATTGATAACCTGAAAATTTTGGTGTTCAAACAT